GTTGCAGGCAAACATACTCTTTATTAGAGACACGATCAAAAACAACAAAACGAAAACGTGACAGTTCACGGTCTAACACAACCGACTAGAAACAAGATCCCACAAACTCTGTGGGGAAACAGGCTGCTAAAGTATGGTTCTCAATCAGAGACAACAAGCAACAGCTGAATCCCGTTGCCTCTGATTGAGAACCACACTGGCCAACATAGAACAACAATACTAGAAAGTGAAACCTAGAACAAAACACATAGACTTTACACACCCTGGCTCAACATATTAGAGTCCCCAGAGCCAGGGCGTGACAGGCCTGCATACTCACCAGACGTCACCCATTGAGCATGTTTGGGATGCTCTGGATCGACGTGTACGACAGCTTGTTCCAGTTCTCGCCAATATCCAGCAACTTTGCATAGCCATTGAAGAGGAGTGGGACAACATTCTACAGGCCACAATCAACAGCCTGATCAACTCTATGCGATGGAGATGTGTCGCACTGCATGAGGCAAATGGTGGTCACTCCAGATCCTACTGGTTTTCTGATCCACGCCCCTACTTTTTTTAAAAGGTATCTGTGACCAACAGATGCATATCTGTATTCTCACTCGTGAAATCCATAGATTAGGGCCTAATTAATTGATTTCAATTGACTGATTTCCTTATATGAACTGTATCTCAGTAAAATCTTTGAAATTATTGCATGTTGCATTTCTATGTTTGTTCAGTATAGTTAGGCTAGCCTGCCTAAGTGTAGTGCAGAGCTGTCTGACTAAATCATTTGACTAGTTCTTCGAAGTATGGAAGACATACTTTCCCAAACTGTCTCTGTCCCTCTCTTCTTGTCCTTGTGTTGTGTACATTCCTCTATCATGCAGTCTCTGTGTATCTAACCTAACAAGTTAATTGCTTTGCCACATTTTTTGCAGTATTACTTTAGTGCCTTGATGCAAACAGGAATATGTTTTAAAGTCACAATTGGCCTCATGACAAAAATCTCTGAGCAGTTTCCTTCCTGTCCGGCAACTGAGTTAGGCAACTTTGTAGTGACATACCATCCAAAGTGTAATTAATAACTTCTCCATGCTCAAAGGGATATTCAATGTCTGTTTTTTGTTTACCGATCTACCAATAGATTCCATTCTTTGCGAGGCATTGGAAAACCTCCTAGGTCTTTGTGGTTTAATCTGTGTTTGATATTCACTGCTCGACAGAGGGACCTTACAGATAATTGTATGTGTCGGGTACAGAGATGTGGTAGTCATTCAAAAATCATGTTAAACACCATTATTGCACACATAGTGAGTCCATGCAACTTGTGACTTGTTAAGCAAATGTTTACTCCTGAACCTGATTTAGGCTTGCTATAAGAAAGGGGTTGAATACTTATTGAATCAAGACATTTCAGCTTAAAATTGTGTATTAATTTGTAAACATTTCTAAAAACATAATTCCAATTGACAATATGGGGTATTGTGTGTAGGCCAGTGACACAAAATCTAAATGTAATCAATTTTAAATTCAGGCTGTAACACAACAAAATGTGGAAAAGTCAAGGGGTGTGAATACTTTCTGAAGGCACTGTATATCATGTGAATTAAGCCTTGTGAAATCAGTCATAAGCACAAAAGATAAGCCTACAGTTGCATGTAGGTCTAGATTATTTATGGGTTGATCATATAGAAATATCAAAACAATCTTTCAACGACTCCAAAGCAATTGCCTGTCTATGGCGCAGGAACCACTGACTCGCTGCCTTTTTCTATATTAAGACACCTGCTGGTAACTCAACTGTTTAGGACAGCTCATAAGGTCTCCTAAATATCTGTTGACTAGGTGGGACTCGACTTAAGAGGCTTCATGCATACCCATAAGAGTAGAAGTAAAATATCTCTATTCTCAGCACTTAGGACCACGTTTCTACTCTGAGACGCTTTGTGGATACAGGCCCAGATCAGCACTTCTATTAATTGAGACACAGACCAAAAGAGTAGACAATGTAAAAATGCCTTCTAACTTTATTTTTTAAACTAATATGAAGAACAGGCACGTACAATAAGGTTGCTAAAGCCAAACATCTACGGACAAAAACAGCGAAGTCTCTGTAGCACTCACTTTTAAAGTCATACTACAGAGAAATACACTTTATCCAGGAAACCTTTACAATATAAATAAAGTCTCAAAAATGTTTGCTTGTGTGTGTATTCAATATTCTGTGAGACTGGAAATTGAAAACCAATGGTCATGCACTCCTGAGTGAGGATAACTGATCAATACTATTTCATTTTCAAATCGTTTACAAAACATGTACATCAAAACAATTATCCCTGCTTTAAAGCTGAGCAGCGAAAGGTGAAACAGCGCCACTGGTCACCCCCATGCCATTTATTGTTTTTGAAAAGGAGGAGATGAGCATCCAGCAACATAAAAAAATATATACAAATAAGTACATACAGTACATAGTCTGTGGGTCTTCTCTGCGAGCAATGATGTTCAATATCTGGAGGGGATTTATTGTATTTTAAGTAACGTCTTTTGTTGTAATATCGCAAAAGGAAGTGGCAGTTTAACCAAAACGGATTCCAACTTTAAAGAAATACTTCCAACAAACCATGTACTGAAGAGAGGTATGGTGATGACTACCAAATGTGTTGATACAGTCCCTTTTCAGATCGTTTCTTTTGCCCTTTAAAAGCCTTATGGTAACTACAGTGGCTTGCGAAAGTATTCACCCCCCTTGGCAATTTTCCTATTTTGTTGCCTTACAACCTGGAATAAAAATGGATTTTTTGGGGGTTTGTATCATTTGATTTACACAACATGCCTACCACTTTGAAGATGCAAAATATTTTTTTATTGCGAAACAAACAAGAAATAAGACAAAAAAACAGAAAACTTGAGCGTGCATAACTATTCACCCCCCCAAAGTCAATACTTTGTAGAGCCACCTTTTGCAGCAATTACAGCTGCAAGTCTCTTGGGGTATGTCTCTATAAGTTTGGCACATCTAGCCACTGGGATTTTTGCCCATTCTACAAGGCAAAACTGCTCCAGCTCCTTCAAGTTGGATGGGTTCCGCTGATGTACAGCAATCTTTAAGTCATACCACAGATTCTCAATTGGATTGAGGTCTGGGCTTTGACTAGGCCATTCAAGACATTTAAATGTTTCCCCTTAAACCACTCGAGTGTTGCTTTAGCAGTATGCTTAGGGTCATTGTCCTGCTAGAAGGTGAACCTCCGTCCCAGTCTCAAATATCTGGAAGACTGAAACAGGTTTCCCTCAAGAATTTCCCTTTATTTAGCACCATCCATCATTCCTTCAATTCTGACCAGTTTCCCCGTCCCTGCCGATGAAAAACATCCCCACAGCATGATGCTGCCACCATGCTTCACTGGGGGATGGTGTTCTCGGGGTGATGAGAGGTGTTGGGTTTGCACCAGACATAGCGTTTTCCTAGATGGCCAAAAAACTAAATTTTAGTCTAATCTGACCAGAGTACCTTCTTCCATATATTTGGGGAGTCTCCCACATGCCTTTTGGCGAACACCAAACGTGTTTGCTTATTTTTTTCTTTAAGCAATGGCTTTTTTCTGGCCACTCTTCCGTAAAGCCCAGCTCTGTGGAATGTACAGCTTAAAGTGGTCCTATGGACAGATACTCCAATCTCCGCTGTAGAGCATTGCAGCGCCTTCAGGGTTATCTTTGGTCTCCTGTAGCTCAGTTGGTAGAGCATGGCGCTTGCAACGCCAGGATTGTGGGTTCGATTCCCACGGGGGGGCAGTATGAAAAATGTATGCACTCACTAACTGTAAGTCGCTCTGGATAAGAGTGTCTGCTAAATGACTCAAATGTAAATGTCTCTTTGTTGCCTCTCTGATTAATGCCCAGTCCGTGAGTTTTGGTGGGCGGCCCTCTCTTGGCAGGTTTGTTGTGGTGCCATATTCTTTCCATTTGTTTTAATAATGGATTTAATGGTGTTCTGTGGGATGTTCAAAGTTTCTGATATTTTTTTATAACCCAACCCTGATCTGTACTTCTCCACAACTTTGTCCCTGACCTGTTTGGAGAGCTCCTTGGTCTTCATGGTGCCCCTTGCTTAGTGGTGTTGCAGACTCTGGGGCCTTTCAGAACAGGTGTATATATACTGAGATCATGTGACAGATCATGTGACACTTAAATAAAGTCCACCTGTGTGCAATCTAACTAATTATGTGACTTCTGAAGGTAATTGGTTGCACCATATCTTATTTAGGGGCTTCATGGCAAAGGGGGTGCATACATATGCACGCACCACTTTTCCGTTATTTTTTTTTCATTCCACTTTTCCAATTTGGACAATTTTGTGTAGGTCCATTACATGAAATCCAAATAAAAATCCACTTAAATTACAGGTTGTAATGCAACAAAATAGGAAAAAACGGCAAGTGGGATGAATACTTTTGCAAGGCACTGTACATAGTTAAAAAATCCATAAACAGAAAAATACATGTAGAATTGCAAAGCTTTTAAAAGACAGTAGTTACATTGATTAAGGCTTTCAGGACAAAAAAAACAAACACCATCATTTCCAACAAAACTTATGCGGTCATTCACTGCATGCATTATGTAAGGCTTTGTCCTACAGATAAAATGTGGGGAAGAAAAGTTAAAAAAGGACCATTCTCTGTTCATTTTTAGAACAGCCATTCAATGGTGAAGATAAAAAAATATTTTTTGCACCACCCAAGTTATTAATCTTTGTTTTGAGTTGTCTTAAGGGTCCTTAAAAGCAATGTCTAGCTGAGACTTGTATCAAGGTAAACATAGGGGGAAAAAATTTAATGGACAACAGTCATACATTTATTGGACAAATTAAACAATGGACAACAAATGCTGGCGTGCAGACTTCTATAACAACCAATAGCTAATTCGAATGCACCCAGGACCGTACAATACCAGTGTGCTCTACTGCGATTTCTGCCGGTGTGGCGCAGCATTGTAAAGAAGGCTATGTCTGATCATTTTTATTTTGTCTTCTTTGCAGTGGCCAAGGTGTCATGGAGTTTTGACACACACTTTTCAAACTGGTCCATGACCAGTGTTCCATTCCTGTCAAAGAAAGCCCCCACAGACTTTATGATCTCTTGCTCCCGCGTGTGTCTGGACTTCCCATCTGTGAAGGACACTCTTAGTGTGTACTGGTCATCAAACCTGCAGAGAGTAGAAGTCACAACACACACTGTCAACTCTTGGAAATGAAAACAAGAACACAATTTGATATGCAGGACTTTTCAATATCAGATCAATTAAAAACATTACCAGGCATCATCTCTCAGAAAATTTGATGGTACCAAAAAAACTGCACAAAAAGTTACCCATAAAAAAAACTACCTTTTCAGACTAGATGAAAGCTGCCAAGTGTGGTCAGGGTCCATGCCAGCGGGGTCTTTCTGGACAGAAACGAGGAAGATGTTCTTTTCTTGGTAGGAGGTGTATAAGGTTAGAATGCCCATCATTATGAAATACGTAAGGATCGGTTAGGGAAAACATGGATATATCAATTCCAGAATCAAATAATGAACACTTTTGGAAGGACAATTAAGTTACTAAGCCATGAGAATGTAAATTTGGGTAATTAAAGATTTGAGGTGAGTAATAACAGCCTATCAAAAACATGTTATCAGCATCAGTCTGTAAATATCAAAATAAGTAACTGTAGAGGCCTTCAAAGCAATATCGACAGTTGGATGAATTGTTTTATGAAAGCAATAAAGGCATGTTAGGTTGTGCTGTGTTACAATTGCATTACACCAATGGAATTTAGAGATTAAATGACATAGAATAAAGTTTACTTGCACAACGATGGCACAGTTCTAGATCATTTAGCACAATGAACACTGCCATCATTCCTTCACACACTTCCCACAATTAATATTCGCTAACTTCTGTTGGATCATGTACAGTCGTGGTCAAAAGTTGAGAATGACACAAGTATTGGTCTTCACAAAGTTTGCTGCCTCAGTGTTTTTAGATATTTTTGTCAGATGTTACTATGGTATACTGAAGTATAATTACAAGCATTCCATAAGTGTCAAAGGCTTTTATTTGCAGTGTTGACCCTTCTTTTTCAAGACCTCTGCAATCCACCCTGGCATGCTGTCAATTAACTTCTGGGCCACATCCTGACTGATGGCAGCCCATTCTTGCATAATCAATGCTTGGAGTTTGTCAGAATTTATGGGGTTTTGTTTGTCCACCCACCTCTTGAGGATTGACCACAAGTTATCAATGGGATTAAGGTCTGGGGAGTTTCCTGTCCATGGACCCAAAATGTTGATGTTTTGTTCCCCGAGCCACTTAGTTATCACTTTTGCCTCATGGCAAGGTGCTCCATCATGCTGGAAAAGGCATTGGTCATCACCAAACTGTTCTTGGATGGTTGGGAGAAGTTGCTCTCGGAGGATGTGTTGGTACCATTCTTTATTCATGGCTGTGTTCTTAGGCAAAATTGTGAGTGAGCCCACTACCTTGACTGAGAAGCAACCCCACACATGAATGGTCTCAGGATGCTTTACTGTTGGCATGACACAGGACTGATGGTAGCGCTCACCTTGTCTTCTCCGGACAAGCTTTTTTCCGGATGCCCCAAACAATCGGAAAGGGGATTCATCAGAGAAAATGACTTTACCCCAGTCCTAAGCAGTCCAATCCCTGTACCTTTTGCAAAATATCAGTCTGTCCCTGATGTTTTTCCTGGAGAGAAGTGGCTTCCTCGCTGCCCTTCTTGACACCAGGCCATCCTCCAAAAGTCTTCACCTCACTGTGCGTGCAGATGCACTCACACCTGCCTGCTGCCATTTCTGAGCAAGCTCTGCACTGGAGGTGCCCCGATCCCGCAGCTGAATCAACTTTAGGAGACGGTCCTGGCGCTTGCTGGACTTTCTTGGACGCCCTGAAGCCTTCTTCACAACAATTTAACCTCTCTCCTTGAAGTTCTTGATGATCCGATAAATGGTTGATTTAGATGCAATCTTACTAGCAGCAATATCCTTGCCTGTGAAGCCCTTTTTGTGCAAAGCAATGATGACGGCACGTGTTTCCTTGCAGGTAACCATGGTTAACAGAGGAAGAACAATGATTTCAAGCACCACCCTCCTTTTAAAGCTTACAGTCTGTTATTCTAACTGAATCAGCATGACAGAGTGATCGCCAGCCTTGTCCTCGTCAACACTCACCTGTGTTAACGAGAGAATCACTGACATGATGGCAGCTGGTCCTTTTGTGGCAGGGCTGAAATGCAGTAGAAATCTTTTTGGGGGATTAAGTTCATTTTCATGGCAAAGACGGACTTTGCAATTCATTGCAATTCATCTGATCACTCATAACATTCTGGAGAATATGCAAATTACCAACATAAAAACTGAGGCAGCAGACTTTGTGAAAATTAATATTTGTGTCATTCTCAAAACTTTTGACCGCGACTGTAGATGGGCATATTGTACAGTGGTAAGTGTGAGGAGGAATCATGGCGGCGGTTGTAGTACTAAATTACCTAAAACTGTAGGCAATCATGCCATCTTTATGCATGTCTTCTATTGTGACAAAGCAGTAATTTCATTATTTTCCCCTTTAAAAGGATATGATATGACACAGATTGCCAGGACTGGCTTGGACTCAGGGAATGGATGAAGGAAGTCCCAAATTAAAGCTACGATGGCGAAAAGGCAGGAGACTGTGCAAATAAGGAGACGCCCATCTACGAGATTGAAGTTCTCTGCATAACCATACTTCTCCAAGAGGACCTGATGAATGTTGGAAAAATATGATCAAAACAGATGTAAAATATCAAAACCATACACTAACATACAAGAGACTGTTGAAATCAGCTAATCATTGTCTGTGTGTACATTTCCCCCCCTGATTGTACTGTATTCAAACCTTCTTCGCTGCATCATCAAGAGAATTCTTGACAGCTGCACCATCCCATTTGTCAATCTTCACAGGTTTCTCATCAATCCTCCACTGAAAACAAATGACAATGGTCAATAGTATGAGCAACACAGTTCTTGACAGACAGTTTCCTCCTGTACCAAACTCCTATTGCAGATGAGTATGAATCCTTGTTCACACTAGCAGGCCTTAATGCTCCAATCCGTTTTGGACTACTGGACTGTCCAAACAGCAAGCTACAAGTGACCGACTCGGATGTGTGTGTGTGTGTTCAGACAGCAGTCATTTGCTGACAATGCTAGTTGTCAAAGTAACGAGGGGTGTGTGTGCAGCTGTGTAGGCTGATTGGTGGTGGTGCTTGTGCTTCCTATCACTCAGAAGTTATGTAGCAAGCTAAGGTGACAATGCCTGCCATGGACGATTCCCAGTTGCTTTGAGTGTTCAAAATCCTAGGGTAAGAACACTGTTAAAGCCACAAAGGATATAAAATGATCCAACTTTCAAAACAAGTCCTAGCTAGGTAGCGTTTAGCTTTCTAGCACATTCACAATTAACAAGCTAGTTAGCTACCACATGTTCTTGACAAACTGTCAGAGTAGTTAGCAAGCAACAAGATATGCCAAATAAGTCTAAAAAAAACACTTGAGCAAATAAATCAGATTTGACCATTCAGACAAGTCACATGGACAGGAATCAGATTTGTATCTGACTTCAAACCACCTACGAAGGTGGTTTGAAATGTGGCTTGAAATATCCGATTCCATGTGCCTTTTGGCTGTTCAGAATGCAGGAAAAATAACAGATTTGAATTGGATATGCAAATAAATAGAATTTAAGTCACTTCAAACTGCCAATGTGAACACGGCTGTAGCTAAGCTATATGTACACTGACATTCATTCATCCAGGCCTAAAATGGCAATTTGATAATCCAAACTAATTATTACAAAATATTTAGATAAATGATCTTTGGTCATACATTATAAAAGCAGTTGCCTGCAAACCCGACATTAAATTGCATTGAATTCTACGTCGGTCAGAAATGAGCGTTTAAATATACAAGCCAGAATGTTGAATAAAATTATATTTAGAAATGTGAGACAATATATCCACAGGAAAGTATAATTACATCAACTTTTCAAAGCGCCGGTAGTGCGTTCAGATTTCTATCACCTGACGCATGCACAGAACCATATAAAAACACACGCACGAGCTCAGCAGGTATGCATGTGTCTGGTGCATGTATTTTTTATATTGTGTGCATGCTTCAGGTGATAGAAATCTGAAGACACTACCAGCGCTTTGAAAAGTTGATGTCATTATACTTTCCTGTAGTGCTGAGTGATTAACCAACATTTAGTTTATTTCTGGTTATTAAACAACTAATTGACCAACATCTGTTCAATTACTTGAATTCCATTTAGTTCTTTTTTGTGTGTGATGGTCGTTGTGGGATACTGGGCTCAACCTAGTTCAGCGCAGAAACTTGGTAATTAACTACAATGACCAAAATCCATTGGACCTTTTTTCCCAGCTTGGACTGAGATGGATACACTTTTACGCCTGCTATGTTAGGTTAGATACACACAGATTGCATGAGAGAGGAATGTACACTATGAGAGAGAGGGAATGAGACAGTTCGTGAAAGTATACCTTATCTACTTTGAAGAACTTGGCAAATGATTGTCAGACAGCATGCTTAGGCAGGCTAGCTAAATAGGAGAACTAAAGAGAGTACAGAAGGGTTCCACAACTGGCAGTGGTTTTCTTTGGCCCCCCCAGGGTTTGAGATTAAAAAGAAATATATATATATATATACACACACACACACACACGCTTGCTCTACCGGTCAAAAGTTTTAGAAGCCCCCATTTTTCCAGTTTTTATTGAGATCTAAGCAGTTCATTGAATAACCTGAAATGGTACAAAAGGTAAGCGTTAAACTGCCAAAGGTAAAAAAAAAAAAAAAAAAAAAAAGTTTAGGTTACCAAAAACAGAAAAATTATGTACATTTCAGAGTTAAGAAAATGCTTTTTTCAGGGAACAAGTAATGGGTTAACAACTTTCAGCTGTTCTGCCGCAATGGAATTAAATTAAGCCTTGAAAGTTGATGCTAACAATTTCTACAGGTGTCCCAACTTTTGTTAATTACTTACAAACCCTCTGTCTGTATAAAAGCAGTGTTGGAACAGACTGTTACTACACCCTCTAAAGCATTATTTGGACAGTATTGTACTGCAGGTAGTAGTATATTGCTATCCTAATGGCGAGAAAAAGACAATTAACAAAAGAAAGAAAGACAGACCATTATAACCCTTAAAAGTGTAGGGCCTTCCTTTAGAGAAATTGCAAAGAACGCCAAGGTGTCAGTGAGTACAGTTTCCTACACCATCAAAAAGGCAGCTGGAAACTGGAGGAAACTCTGACAGGAAGAGGTCTGGCCACAACAGATTCAGAAGATAAGTTTCTGAGAGTCAACAGCTTGCGTGATAGGCGGCTCACAGGACAACAGCTTCAAGCACAGCTTAACACTGGTCGAAGTAAGCAAGTCTCAGTTTCAACTGTGAAGAGAAGACTTCGAGCTGCAGGTTTGACAGGTGGAGTGGCAGTAAGAAAGCCATTGCTAAGATGGCAAAATAAGAAAAAAAAGGTTTGCCTGGGCCATGAAGCACCGCCAGTGGACTACTGAAGACTGGCTGAAGGTCTTATGAAATCTTCGGTTCATCACGCAGGGTTTTTATATGCCGCCGAGTAGGCGAAAAGGATGGTTCCTCAGTGCGAGACACCAACTATCAAACATGGAGGAAGACTGATGGTCTGGGGCTCTTTTGCTGGATCCAGAGTCGGCGATTTGCAGAGCGAGTGGCACCCTGAACCAAAACGGCACCACAGCATTTTGCAGCGCCGTGCAATACCATCTGGTATACGACTAGTTGATCAGGGGTTCCTACAGCAAGATAATGACCCAAAACATACCTCCAGGCTGTCAGAACTACCTTCAAATAATGGAATGGCCAGCACAGTCTCCAGACTTAAACCCCATTGAGCTGATTTGGAACGAACTGGGCAGAAGGGTGAAAGTAAAGCAACCTACAAGTGAAACACATTTGTGGGAACTTCTGCAACAGTGCTGGGAATAACTTGCCGAACAATATTTGATTTCCGTTGTAGAAAGAATGCCACGAGTGTATTTGGCTGTTATGTATGCAAAAGGTGCCTACTTCGATGAGTCAAATTTAGATTACATTTTGTTAAACAAAACGATTCCATTATTAATTTTGTCTCCAATTGCTTATTTGTTCTATGCTTTAATTTCAGAGTACATTAAGACATTAAACTGTGTGAATTTCAATAAAAACTGGGAAAATTGAGGTGTTCTAAAACTTTTCAGAGGGAGATATATATATATATATATATATATATATATATATATATATATATATATATATATATATATATATACACACACACATACACACACACACATATATATACACACACAAACAAACACACACATACAGTGAGGGAAAAAAGTATTTGATCCCCTGCTGATTTTGTACGTTTGCCCACTGACAAAGAAATTATCAGTCTATAATTTTAAAATGGTAGGTTTAGTTGAACAGTGAGAGACAGAATAACAACAAAAAAATCCAGAAAAACGCATGTCAAAAATGTTATAAATTGATTTGCATTTTAATGAGGGAAATAAGTATTTGACCCCTCTGCAAAACATGACTTAGTACGTGTGGCAAAACCCGTGTTGGCAATCACAGAGGTCAGACGTTTCTTGTAGTTGGCCAACAGGTTTGCACACATCTCAGGAGGGATTTTGTCCCACTCCTCTTTGCAGATCTTCTCCAAGTCATTAAGGTTGAGGGTGATGTTTGGCAACTCTAACCTTCAGCTCCCCCCACATATTTTTTATGGGATTAAGGTCTGGAGACTGGCTAGGCCACTCCAGGACCTTAATGTGCTTCTACTTGAACCGCTCATTTGTTGCCTTGGCCGTGTGTTTTGGGTCATTGTCATGCTGAAATACCCATCCACGACCCACTTTCAATGCCCTGGCTGAGGGAAAGAGGTTCTCACCCAAGATTTGACGGTACATGGCCCCGTCCATCGTCCCTTTGATGCGGTGAAATTGTCCTGTCCCCTTAGCAGAAAAACACCCCCAAAGCATAATGTTTCCACCTCCATGTTTGACGGTGGGGATGGTGTTCTTGGGGTCATAGGAAGCATTCCTCCTCCTCCAAACACAGCGAGTTGATGCCAAAGAGCTCCATTTTGGTCTCATCTGACCACAACACTTTCACACAGTTCTCCTCTGGGTTCATTCAGATGTTCATTGGCAAACTTCAGACGGGCATGTATATGTGCTTTCTTGAGCAGGGGGACCTTGCGGGCGCTGCAGGATTTCTGTACTTCACGGCGTAGTGTTACCAATTGTTTTCTTGGTGACTATGGTCCCAGCTGCTTTGAGATCATTGACAAGATCCTCCCGCGTAGTTCTGGGCTGATTCCTCACCGTTCTCATGATCATTGCAACTCCACGAGGTGAGATCTTGCATGGAGCCCCAGGCCGAGGAAGATTGACAGTTATTTTGTGTTTCTTCCATTTGCGAATAATCGCACCAACCTTCTCACCAAGCTGCTTGGCGATGGTCTTGTAGCCCATTCCAGCCTGGAGAGCTCTTTGGTCTTGGCCATGGTGGAGAGTTTGGAATCTGATTGATTGATTGCTTCTGTGGACAGGTGTCTTTTATACAGGTAACAAGCTGAGATTAGGAGCACTCCCTTTAAGAGTGTGCTCCTAATCTCATCTCGTTACCTGTATAAAAGACACCTGGGAGCCAGAAATCTTTCTGATTGAGAGGGGGTCAAATACTTATTTCCCTCATTAAAAACATGTGTTTTTCTGGATTTTCTTGTTGTTATTCTGTCCCTCACTGTTCAAATAAACCTACCATTAAAATTATAGACTGATCATTTCTTTGTCAGTGGGCAAACGTGCAAAATCAGCAGGGAATCAAATACTTTTTTCCCCTCACTGTACAAACATACACACAACCGTTCA